CCTCGTGCATCCCTGCCACAAAATATGGGGCTTTCTTGAGCCAGCTGATTTCATCATTCTCCATTTGGGTGGAGTGAGACTTGGTTCCAAAGAGAACATTTCCCGAATGACATACCCTGATGGTTCAGATGCACTTCATTATTTTCTATTAACAATGGAAATAAATTTTAATCTCTTGCTGGCTAGCGCTGGCCTCTCATGACAGCAAGGGAATTAACCTGAATTATTTCAGTGTCTGCAAAATTTATTACAAGATTTTAAATTATGTCCAAATGTATGTGCGTGTGCCTGTATATATATAGATATGAGGCAAGTTCCCGTTTTTAATATTCCAAATATCTTAGACTTTGAGGGATCTAAGAGAGCCTGCCAATTTAACTGAATTTATAAAATGTAAAGGATTTGAAACTCCACCACGTGAAATCAGACATGTTTGGTGGCTGCTCTTTTTTTTAGGAATTGTTGTTTTTCTTACACATGGAGATACACACAAATATTGACTTTTCCATACACTCACTCTCCTTCTGGAAGAGTGAACTACGTTATGGAGGTGAAGATACATTTGGTACATTCAAAGCTTCGAATTTAACTTCCTTCACTGTTTTCTGATGAACGATGACAACACTGATATTATTCTCTTCAGAGAAGTTAAAGTTTCTGAATGTTTGAAGACTGAAGGAAGTGGACTGTGCATTCCAGCATCGTCTCCCTCCCAGGCCTTCCCCTTCCACAAGCCAACTTCTTTCCCCCAGTGAGTATTTCCTGGGTCACGAAGGCTGACCTTTTCCATCTGGAATCAATCAGTCAACCCCTGACAACTTCCTGAAACACCTCACTCCATTTCCTGTTCTCTCCCCCTTCTCTCTTCCCCCTGGTTTGCCTCACTCTTCAAAACTGCAGGCCACAGCAGCTTAATGTTAGAGGGTCAGACACAGTTAGACTCCAAAACACTACACAAGGACACCTTTGACCTTCAAAAATCTTTACATCTTAGCTAAACAAATCAAGGTCAACATTTCTTACCATTACCTTGTTAACTATTTGGAGGCATCTCTGCCAACGATCTTCTGATCACAGACTCATCAATACCGCTTGTTCTCCTAAGACCATAAACTGATCTGTTTTAGGAGTAGAGAATTTAGTATTGACAAAATACCATGAGTATTTTAGTTTGAGGTACCCGAAACTAAAAATCTCGAGTCTTACAATAAACATATGGAGAGTTTTCCATCCAAAAGGACGTCTCTGTCTCATCAGTGTCGCCTATCACCTGAACCTGATACCTAGTCTTTTATACAGCTGTCAGACTCTCTTGGCACTGCCATTCTGCTGGCACAGCCCGAAAGGATGCCAGTTAGGAATACAGATGTCCATAATTTGTGTGGGATGGACCCCCAGCTTTTGCTGTTGACACTGGTGACAGCTTTCATTTGTTTCTCAAAGTTGGTGTATCTGTATTTCAGCTCAAAGCTCCAGTAGGAGAGTCTGCGGATCTGAAAACTAAGCCATTGTAGACTGGAGCTCTCCTCAACTGGTAGGCTTCAACTCAACACAAAAGCAACAACCAATTATATTCACGCAAATATCATTTATGACACGGTAGATTTCATTCAAGGTGTCAGGAAAGAGAAGTAAGGATCTATTGAAATTGCTTACATTTTTTTAAGCGAAAGTAGTTTTTCACGTTTTGCCGTTCCTCATTTTGTTTAGCGTGATCTCTAATTTTTGGTGAGGCCAGATCAATAAACGCAGACCAATTGGTGCGTGACAGTGTAGGTTCCATTTTGAATCATCCAACTAAACGACAGTTTTAGCTGATTAAACAGAAGTAGAAACGCGAGTAAAAAGTTTGTATTTCCCCTTGAAAAATACAAGAAAGTTTTAAGAACGAAAGCTACAACTGTGTGAGCAGTCCGCTCAAAGTACTCAAGAAAACGGATTGGCTTTCTCAAATTATATTTTCCTTCTCATTACCCAAAAGCACTCCC